ATTGTATTTATTTATTTAAATAACAAAAACTTTTATTTATTTTTTTTTATTTCAAGTTATAACAATATTTACAAATAATATTTATCTTTTCAAATTGATATTTATTATTTATAATATTTTTATTTTGAATATTTTTTTATTATATAGTATTTATTTAATTTATAATTAATAACATTAGTGAATTTATTATAATATACTGGTAGGTAAGATTTTTTTTACTAATGATATCAAAAATATTTGTGAATTTTTTTTTATTAGTTTAATTCCTTAATTTTTTATCACAGATCTTTATACAACTCCATTAGATTTTCTTGAAATAATATTTACAAATAAGTGCAAGTACAAATAAGTATTAAATACAATATTCAATTTATTTTAATTAATTATTTTATTACTTTTATTTATACTAACTATAATATGTTTATCAATTTTTACTATGATCTATCTTATGATTTTATTAATCTTAACAATTTTTTACCAATATTACTATAACCAATTTTATAAAGTTAGTTTAATTTATTATCTTATATTTCTAAATATTTTTATTTTTTTTTAAACTTTTTAATATTTTTAAATCTTTTTTATTTTTATATTTTTAATTTAACAATTTGTTATATTTTTATATTTTTGTTTAAAATTGTTAAAAATTCAATAATTGTTTTATCTTAAATTAATAAAAATTTATTAAATTGTATATAATAATAATGGTTAATAAAATAAATTTTTGTTATTATTATTATTATTATTATTATTTTATTGGCAGATTTAAAAGTTGACATTTAAAATATATTAAGAAATTGATTAAAAATATTTTTTTAGTTTTTAAGATTATTATTATTAATTTTAAAAGCATCAAGAGTTTTGTAAAACATTGTTTCTTGAATATTGTTGATAAAATTTTTATTTTATTCTTAAAAAAATAATATAATAGCAATAATTGATTATTTCTTTCAAACTTTATATAAGATCTTAAGGGTTTTGCTAATTGTTGTTTTTTTATTTTTGATAAATTTTATATTTATCATTATTTATGAAAAAATCTGTTATTTGAAAAAATATATTTTAATTATAATTGAAAAAGGTTTATTTTTTAATAAAATAAAAAAAAATATGTAAAATTTGTTTTAATATTTTTATATAATAAGAATTTTAAATATAAAATTATATTTTAATATTTTACAAAAACATAAATTAATAATAGAACAATAAAATAAAATTTCAAACAAAATTTCAAACAATTTTATAAATTTGGTTAAAAAGAGATATAAAATAATAATTGAAAAGAAAATTAAAACAAAAATAAATTATTAATTTTATATTAATAAAATAATAAGATTTTTAATTTTATATAATAGTGTTTAAATAATAAATAAATAAAAAGTTTTTATGCATTATATTTTGTTTTATTTAGTTTAATAATTTGAATGTTTTTAATTATTCTTTTTTCTTTTAGATAAAAGAAATTATTGAGTTTGATCAATTATTATTCATTTTAATTTCAAGCAAAACTAAAAATAGAATATAAAAAAAATAGAATACAAAAGAGAATTGTATAAATAAATTAGATATGTAAGGTAAGTATACTTGTAACTTTATTTGATAAGAAAAAAAAACATGTTTATACTCGAGTTATTTATTTTTTAATTTATTTTAATTATTTTAAATACTTATTTTTCTACTCATCTATTATATTGCTCATGTTTTTAATTCTATTAATTCTTATCATAATACTCAGCATTTCATTGTATAACAATAAACTTATTATTGTTTATTTAAATATCAAATAATTGTTATTTATTAATTAGTTTAATTGATAATAATTTACTATTCCGTATAATTCTCTTCACTTCAAGGCGAAAGAGATTGATTGTATTTGACAGATCTTTGTCAGTAGGTCACATGATCACGGCGAAACTCAAATATAACACTAGAAAATGGAACACAAAGGGATTTATCACACAGATGATTTGTAGACGTAAAGGAAAATACTTGCTATCTAAGATGAGCACACGTTGATACCTTTATTTAATGAAAGCTAGATATTTATACATGTTTTTATTATCCCAATTATTATCTTTATCCTAATTATCCTTTTTGTCTCATTTATTCTTATCACGATACCCTGTATAGCATCGCGTGAGAAATCACCTTATTGCCCTATAACCGTATGTTTCCCTATAACTGTATGACCAACTATAATGTAGGCTGAAAAAGTTTTCACCACAAATATGTAACTCAATAGCAATATAGATAGTAATCAAAACCGTCCACAAATCAACCCAGAAAAGTAAAAGTGAAATTGGATTGATTTCATTTTGAAATTGATAGAAGAAAGCATAGAAAAAAATTCCAGCCTGAATGGATTTTGCGATGTCACCGATCAAGGTACCTTTGAAGAGAAAATTAATGCAACTTACTACTACTGAATTTAAAACTATAAGAATAATACAAAAGTCAGTTATATGTTTGACAATGAATATATAATTATATATAGACATCAAAAATACTGTCAACATATGTACCCAAAAAATACATAAAGGAAAGTATTGAAATAAAGCAATCGAGAATGTATGTAAAAAAATAGTTAAAATTATAATATCAGTTAAAATTAAAAGAAATGTTGTCTCTTCGTTAAATCTTTTTGCTGCATATAAGAACAAAGGAGTGATATTGAAAACAACTAATGTCACAAGTTTCATGTAAATTCTGAGTACAGCCGATTCACTTTGGTATTCATCAATCAGCTTCATTGTTATAATATGGCCTACTATTGAGCAGCTTAAGGCAATCAAGATAACCGTAAGGTTATTGAAGCCTTGTATTTTATAAAAGTATAGAGGCAGAAATATAATCCCTATGAATGATCTCAATCCGAAAAGGATCCATGTTCTGTAAGTTCTAAGTCGACAGATTGGTATGAAAATACACGAAAGTATTAAGCTGACAACTATATAAGGAATATATTCTTCTATTGGAAAATTAAACATATCAGAAAGCGGTAGCCTTGCTGATGCCATAGGGAACAAACAAACTAGGAAAAATATAAACTTTGGGGTTTTTTTGAACATTTTTTTTTTTCAAATTGAAAGTTAAGCGAACGATTTTAAATATTTTAATCGTAGCAATGATCTTATTACGATAATGCGAAAAAAAGTGTGCGATTCTTTGCAAAGTTTGGAGACACCGTGTACACACGTGTACAATAACAAAACCCATTGTATGCACAAATGTACGATACACATGACACGTTGTATACGCAATGTTGCATTTACTAATTCATGGGATAAAATGGTTCCATCATAATCAAAAAAAAAAAAACAAAACCCAAAAACAATGACGGTTGTTCCGAACATAACATGCTTTAAACATCTATGCTTTTATTGAAATATACCGCCCTACATTTATCATTCAAAGATTAGAACATTAAGGTTATAATCCTTGCGGTACTTATCCTAGATTCCTATTTTATTGTTTCAGATGTTAACGATATTTTTGCTTTTGCGATAACATTTAGTATCTTTACATACTTACAGTACGTATGTTTTTTCTAAATTTAAAGGGTTAATTTATGAAAAATTTCTTTCAATTTTACTATCGAACTTAAAAGAAATTTTTAATTTGGATAGCTGAATACTGTACAGTATAGTTAAAATCAATGAGTAACCCTAATTTGGATAGGTCATTTATTGTAAATATTCAAATCGAACTCTTCTATTTGTTCTTTATTTATAAATAAGATCATTTATAAAATAAGATAATCTTTTTCAAGGATTTTTTTACCTATTATTGTACTGTACATAACGGTATACAGTAGTCACATCGAGTCTATCGCTAACCCGGACTAATTCTCTTTAGTGTAAAGATGGAATGGGACATCCGGGACATGTTTACGACTCAATCGGTACTTTCTCCTTTCTCGAACTATTCGTAAAGCCTTCCTCCTGCTAGTTGGGCCTTTTTACAATTACAAGTATCTCTCATTTCCAAGATACTCTAACTCTGTTTGCCCACCCTAGATAATAATTTTATTTTTTCAAACACACATTTATAATAATTTATATCGTCAAAAGAAGATATTAAAGTTTTTATCAAAATGAAATATGATTTTAAGACAGAAATGCATCAGTTAACAGAGCGAGAATAGTTAAACAATAATTAAAAGGTAATTAATGAATCATATAATTTACATATCTTTCTTCAATATATGTTAATAACAAAAAAATAAATAAATAAGGGATGATTATATTGCTCCTGTCAATAATTTGCGTAATAACATAACAAATTACATGCTTCATTTAAAAATTTCCATATCTCCGGGTTCAAAGCTGTGGTCGCTGTTTCTCTTTTAGATATGATAACTAACGTTATACTTTTCTTATTCTTTATCACGTGATTGATATCGCATTTTTACACCTTATCAATGTATGTTTGTGCATAGCACTAAACCGCTACCTTACGGTAATTATCTACGCAATTATATCTCGAAATTACCAAAAACAAATTATAATGCAAGATCAGTATACAATATTCTCAACAAAAATTTAAAATCTTAATTACATATCGTAAATACATAACAGCGAATAGTTTTACATTAAACAAAAAACAGGAAGCATTAAAACGATACAGTGCCATTTTTATAAGCAACTATAAATTATAATGCAGTACACGTTTAGCCTTGTCTCAACAGGACTAGAAAAGTTTATGTAATACGATATATTAAACAATACATTCATTTAACTCGTAAAATTCTTGATCTTTTTAAAACAAATTTGTTTACGACTAATTTAATAACAAATAAATATTTACGTTTCTAATTACAGTATGTTTTATTAATTTCGTATATTATTCCTTTCTAAAAAATTTTATCTGATTAAATATGAACGTACAGCAACTGCTATAAATTAATGAATTAAGAATTAAACAATGAAATTAATATTAATTATAAGATAAAAGCTTGCATTTTGTAATAAATAAATAATGATTCATGTAAGAAATTATTTTTAGTAGTGATAGTAGTATTTAGGGTCAACGGTTTTTGTTACGGTAATTGTCTTGTATGCCGTCTTGGTAACATATTTGTAGTAACCGTAATCGTAATCACTACGTATTTAATAAAATGCGTGATGGGTTAGCAATCAAATAGATGGCACTAGATAAATTTTCAAAATAAATAAAAAACATACTGAGCCATGGTCATTGCGCTCAACAAAGTGAAGAAGAAGAGGAAGGAGAAAATTTGAGTGAACTTCATGACTGATATTTTTTGTTTTGTTGAGTTGTTTTTGGTTTTTTGGTTTGTTGTTTGAATTTGTTGCTGAACGAAAGGGAAATACGGACCCTTTATATACAACTTGGTTCACTAAGTCCCTTTCTCTTTTACCATTCGGTTTTAATGATATCTGATAGTAAAATTGTCTTAACCAGCGTTGTTCCGGAAATTTTGCATTAAATCGGATCGTTATTTGATTCGAGTGGTTTGAGGAGACATTGTTTCTACCAACTCTTGGAAGTTATGTCACGTGTCAACCATAGTCATTCTTGAATGGAGGCTTTGTATAACGCCATACCTAGTACAATACATTTATGTGCGGTACATATTTCATATTGTGATGCACGTCGATTTTTATGCAAGTCGGTGTGCATACGTACATACACAATGCTGATTGTGAAGCCACATGAAGCCACGTTTAAATGCAAATTACGCATCGCCTATTGATTGTAAATCTATATCGATATGTCCGCACTGAATCGAACTTTCTGTTAAGAAATATCGCAACAGGCAATATTTTTGTCACAATCGCAGGCAAAATGGTTCGATTGTATGCACGTGCGTTACGCAGTATAATAAAATAATCGACTATAGTCGATTGATTATCTTGTTTATTACTTCTGTATTCTTGGATTATCATATTCCCCTTTTATACGTACCTTTATTTCCGGATCCCCAATCCAAATCTAAAAGGTGAAGTTTTACAAAAAAAGAAGGCTATTATTAATTTCTTTCTCTGTTTGTAAAAAAAAAAAAGTTTCCCGATCGGTAAAGATGACCAAAATTAATCGATTTGATTTTCCGTTTTGCGCACAGCCTTAAAGTGTTGTCTCTGTTATGTAATTTCTTTTTTTTAAAAGAAAACACTGATAATTTTATTAAAAATATATTAAGATGTCAAATTAAAAAAATTTTTTTTATTTATCATTATATTATCAAATTGCAAACTATAGTTAATAATAATAACAGTTCTTTTAATTATGCAAATTAATTTTTATTAAGAAAATTGTTTTTTTAAAAATACCATTTATCAAAATTTATCGTGTTTGTTATATATATTTTTAAACATTTGACAAACACAATCGTATGTTTTTTTATTACCTTCAATGTTAACATAAATGAATAGAAATAATAATAAGAACGATAATTTCTTTTAATTTCTTTTTTTTTTTTTTGAATATATCGTGTCTTGCATATCTACCAAATAAATAATTTATACTGTATATAATTTAATTGATGATAACTGGAAAATCCAAGGATAATCAATAAAAAACATTATAAATAAATTCATAAATTATATAAGCTACAGTGCTAGCAATAAAAACTGACGATTTATTTCATGTGTAAAAAATTATATTATAAAAAAAATTTTTTTATTAAATTAATAATAATATTAATCAAAATAATTTAGGAATACCTTAAAATAATAATAATGATTTTTTTTTTGATGTTAACATAATTACATATGATTTTACCAAGTTCGAATATTAAAATTGTCTACATATTTAAAATTTTATAAAATGTTTATAAATAAAAGTACAAATAAAAAAAATTATAAAATGGTTGTTATATTTTTGTTTTTTAAAATATTTTAAATGATAAAATTTATTATAAAATAAAAACTTTAAACTCTTTTACAAATATTAAATAAAATTTTTTAATTATATATATAATAAATAATAAACAATAATTAATTACGTTGTTATTATTATTAGCAAGTCTGTTACTAATCCAAAATCCAAACTTATGTCATAATAGACTTGAACTTAAACTTTTTTTATTTTAATAAGTTTTCTATTGTCTTTTGAAGAACTTGGTTTTGTTTTTTCTTGTTTTTAATTAATTCTCTTTGTTTTAATTATGGCACTTGCTAAAATTCTATATGTCAACAAATTATAAACAAAAAAAATAATTAATTATTGTGCAAAATACAAATTTAATATGTAATTGACTCTTGCTAATCTATTTTACAGTTCTAAGGCTACCTATATTACTTATAACATGTTTACATATTAATTATCACATTTTGCAATATTTAAATAAGTTTTTTCAAACTTTTATTCTTTACTAATATAGAATCCAATAAATTTGATCCTACATTGCATTTCTATTTTATACTTATATTTTATGTACATACTTTATATTATTTTACCTATATAATTCTTATGTTAACAACAGTTATAATAATTTATAATATTATAGGATTATATATAAAAAATATATTTTATTATTATAAATATATTCAAAAAAAATTTTTTTTGTTAATTTTGAAATTAAAACTTTAAATTTAAAAAATTATGGATCAATTAAATCATATATATAATTTTTAAATAAATTATAATCATTATCTAATAACAAATTTTTTTAAAATAAATTATAAATGCTTAATTAACTTAACAATTAAATCCAATATAATTACTACTTTATTTCTTTACTATGTAAATATCAAAATTATAAAAATTATTTACATATTTTATAGTTATACCAAGTTATTATAGGATAAATTGCATACCTACAAAAAATATATATTTACCAATTTAATTTTCAACTGGTTTAAAAATCTATTTTTTACTAATAATAATATTAAAAAAGAATTTAATCTAAAATTTCTATTTTTGACAATAATATAATTAATTTAATTAAGTTGGAAAATTCAATATTAAATTTAATAATAAAATATTTCCATTATTAAATCCTTTCTAATAATACTATTATATTTTATAACTATATTATAAAACCATATTTTATTAAAAAAAATCTAATAAATATTAAATCAATTTTAATTATATTATCAATAACCAATCAATTTTTACTAAATAATATATATATATATTTATATATTTAAATCACAAATAGATATTAAATGCAAGACTTTTATTAAACAAGAGTTTATGGTCATTACATTAAAGATCTTTATATAAGTAGATTAATTCTAGCCTATTACAACTTTTCTATTAGCACTAGCTTATATAAAATAGGTGCGCCTATACTAGCAGTATTAGATAGCTAATGTCTATTCAAAATGATAATACAATTGTAGAAATAAAAATAATTTTATTAGTTGGATTATTATTAATTACTAGTGTATAAATATTTTATAAAATGTTGTAATGTTGTTTTTAATATTAAGATTAGCTCCCATAAATATAGTCTTTTTTCATTTGATTCCTGAGATCAGTGAAATAATAATAGTTGCCAACTATTTTTTTCAAACTTTGTAAAGGATTTTAAATGTCTTGTTTGAACAGATCGATTTTATTGTTCTAAATTTTTTCAATAAAGATTGTAAATTGCCAATTGCAAGATTCACTATATCAAATGTTAATATTATAACAAATATTGATAATATTATATTTTTAGTATTATTCACTTAAGTTGAATTTTTGTTTAGATAATTTATAAGTTTTTTTTTTTCTCTTAATTGTTAATAAATGTAAATATATAAGAAAATATGCATTTGGTCTTCCAGATATGCTTCATGTCATAGGCAAAAATTATTATTATATAGGCTTGAATATCTCTTGTGAAGTTTGAGTCTAATAAGTAATTTGTTTGTGATAAGTTTGGTTTTGAATATTGTAAAACTTTTGAATTTGGTTGGTTATTTTTCTTTAGTTTTTTGTTAACTTTGCAAATAAGTTTTGTAACTTCTAAAGTAATCTTGTAGATTACTAACTGACTTAGAAGAATAGAAATTGATATAGTGGTTAACGAATTTGATCTATTGTATAATACTGATAATATATATATAATTAATTCATATTAAGATATCATGTGTTTCTAAAAATATTTGTAAAGTTAATAAACTGTTGATAGTGGGATCTGGGAGTAAAAGACTCTTATGTTCTTTTTTTGTGATCTATTCAAGTATTATTTTTTTGTTGATTTGTTGAAAATTTATAATTTTAATATATTTGCTATATGGAATTTTAACTTAGTAATTGATATATTCTAGTAATTTTATATTTGGTTTGGTTTGAAGTTAACACTTAATTGTTTAATTAATAAAGATTTCTTGTATAGTTTTTAATAAAATAGGCCAAAATAATAACTATGAATTGACATTTAGTTTGTATTGTATATTTATGTTCAGTTTTTTAATAATAATTCTTTTCTTTAGAAAAAAAATAGTAGTTGTTATAGGTATTGATAGGGTTGTAGAGGATCCAGTTATTATAATATGTAGCAGGGAAAATAACAAAATAGAAAAAAAAAAGTAGTTTGCTAGTACTGTTTAAAAGAAGTAAATAGTTGTTGTATATTGTTGTCCATATTGATTTGATATATGTAATGTCTATCTCTATAATGCAGAGTTATACATATGATTCTAAAAATTAAAATCAAATAGAATTATAAGGAATCACATAAGGTTTATAACACTATTTAAAATAATAGTGGAGTATATCCACCTATTAAATTTAATATAAACTTGAAAATTGAAATCAGAATTGAAAAGAATTATTAGAATCTTTAGTTGTACACTACAGGAATATTGCTAAATGTCTTTGTTTAATAGAATTTGATAATATTAATCTTTAACTATTTACTGTTAAGCTCATTTCTTCTGATTTTAATTAAGTCAACTGTTCTATTGTTTAGAAAGAATTAAAATTAAGGTTTTGAGTTAGATACTAAGAGTTAATTACTTATGATAGTTTGATTTGTTAGTAATATATTCTTGAACTATTTTGGAATTGAGCCTGTGGATATATATTCTCTATAGATATGGAGTTTATTCTATAAGAGTCTGTTATAATTGTTGTATCTGTAAGTGTCTTTGATAGTTTTAATATTTGTATAATAGAGAGACAAAGTAATGGATTTGTTAATACTTATTATAAGACCAATTAAAAGATTGTAATTAGGAATTTTGAATAGACATAGGTATAGGCAGATATTAATTTGATATCTTTTAGCTATTTATGCAACAAGTATTATTCAGCATTTCCTAAAATAGTATAGGTTGCAGATTGGACATGTTTATATAATATGTAATTCTTGAAGAGATTTGATTTCCTTAATAAGAAAGGTGCATGTTTTTTTGTTGGCTAGTTTTGAAATTAGGAGTTTGACTGCTGTTATATATACTCTGTTCTGCAGCTTTATAATGTTTAAATCTGTTTGTAAGTATAAGACTTTGTTCGAGATGATTTTTTAATACTGAGTTTACTTTTGATGGCCATGTTAAACTTTGCTTATATTTCTCTAATGTCATTGTTATTAGGTATGGTAACTTGAATTGTATAGTCTATTTGAGCTGATATTATCCAATAGGAAACTTGTTTTGTTATTAATCCATTTCATCCTTTTTAGTTGACAATAGCTTTAATAAAGTTTGAGACATTTTCTTTGGGATAGTTTTTTGCTATAAGGAATAAGAACTTTCCAGATAAATAGATATCAAGATATCTAATTGATTTGTTATATAGTATAAGATGCACTAATATATCTTCAATATGAAGAAATTGTTTTCTTAAGTTATTTTTAAACTTGAAGTTTGTGATAAGCTCTGTTTTGCTCTTGTTACATTTGATTAGGTTTGGAAATAAAAATGAACAGAAGATATTTGTCACATTTTGTAAAGTTCTTATATTGTTATTGATAATGGTAACATTATTTATATATACTAGTATTGTTGATTTTTTAATGATATTATTGATAATTGTGCTAACTATTAGATCATAAAAGATAGTTTATAATAATAGTACTAGAGTTTCTTCTTAATCAATTTTCTTGTTGATTTCAAGAGAGTTTGTAAGTTTGTAATATATAATTATTTTGAGCTCTTTTCTTTTAAGCAGATCAAGAATTAATTAATTAATTAATTTGATTTGAGGTTTTTGTTTATTTCATAATAAGTTCCAGGTTGGAAAGATTTATTAAGCAAATGCTTTTGAGATATCAAAGAATACCATCCAGATTTTTTTGTTAAGATTATTTGCTTTCTCAATTTCTGAAAGAGTAATTGAGATTGGTTCTATTATGCTTTGATTTTTTAAATCTGTGAAGTTATATCCTGATAGTATATTATATCTTGAGACAATTATTAATAGTCTATCATTTAGTATCTTGATAAAAATTTTTCTACTTGTTTTTATAAAAGATATGAAATATGTATCAGAAAGTTCATATAATCAAATAAATTTTTTAGGTAAGAGAATAACTGCTGACTGTTTTTATAATTTAAAAATTTAATTGTTAAGTATTGCTTTTTTTTAAAAAAAAAAAAACTAGCTGGGCCTTAAAATTTTAAAAGGGAGAAAGTTACTGGTCCAATCTGGTTGTATAGTAATAGTTAGGAAACTGATACTTATTACTGTCACATCCAGCCCCTAGTATTAAGATTACTCACTAGTGTTATAATGAGTACCTATGGGACTCCAAACCTCCAGTAAGATTTGTAGCACTATGATACTTTGATAATCAGTTCATAGTAGTACCTTGATCACCCCTGAAATATGTCTACAAGAATTTTGCTGTCACCAGGATTTGAACCTGTAACCTTAGTACAGAAGTATCAAGCATTTACCAGTGCGCTATAGTTCCACTAGAACATTTGTGAAGTATTGCTTCATTGAAAAGCTTTGTAAGACATTATTTTGCGATTGAACCAAGATTAAATTAGGCTTTATATAAAATATGTGTTAGGCCAGAAGCTTTCTGTTTTGAATGATTAAAAAGAACTTAGTTAATTTCCTCTATTAAGATTTTGCTATAGTTTCTTCAAATATATTATCTGAAAGATTTTTTTTTGATAGGTATTTTTATTGCCAGTTTTTATTAATAATAAATTGATTGGATACTAGGATATTTTTGAAATAATTGGTAATAATTTCTATAAATTAGTTGGAGTCATCTTGCAATTGGTTTCTATCTGAGAAAATTGAAAAATCCAGAGTGAACTTGAGATTTTGAAAACCTTTTTGAGTGCATTTTTGGATTTGAATCAAAATCTAATATAGTTTTCTTGAATATTTTTTTGTAGTTTGTTAAGAATAATCTTATTGGCCTTGACTATTTTTTTTCTTTTAAGAGAGTCTTAAAGGTTTTCTTAAGAGATTTGAATATTGGCAAATTGCTAGAGAGAGCTTTGTATATGTTGTTCACAATAGGATAAAGTTTGTTAGGTTTTCTATTTCTTGTTATTATATTGAAGACTTTCTTAAGAGATTTGATTGCATTTTTTTAATGTTTCAAGAGATTTGGCTTTTTTGTTGAAATTGATTAATCTTTTTTTTGATATATTGTTATCAATAGCACTTTTGATTATTGTGTTAAATGTTTCCCATGATGAATTGAATATTGCTGTATTGTGTAGCTTTATCTCTTTTTGTATTGCTTGGAATTGTTTTTTATTGGCCTTTTGGAATTAATAGGTTTTGTGTAAAAAGGAAATTTTATTGAATTTGTATTTGAACTAGTCTAATATTTTGTTAACCTGCTTATTATTCATTAGTATGGCATATTGTTTTAACACCATATAACAAAGAATTTTTCTGACAAGGTTTTTAGTTATCCAGATTTGATCAATTTTTAATACACTGGTGAATGTGATATACAGTCTGTTACAAAAGTCTTTGGACTAACATTTTTATTAATTGCGTAATAACTACTGCGCCATGTCACTTGAAATTTTTTTTATTTATAGTCGAAACCTTAGTGATTATATTAAAAAAATTTAATATGAAATCCTATCACCTTCTGCCTCAATAACGAGCTTGCATCTCTTCTTTATTGATCT